TCTCGACCAGCGATTTAATTGCAAACAGTTTCCATCGGTCGTTTTCACGGCCACCTTTCGTAGTGTATTGTGTTCAAGTGCTTCCGAAAAGTCGTTTCCACGACTAAATTCTCGACCGGCAATTTAATTGCGGGCAGTTTTCATCGGTCGTTTTCACGGTCACTGCTCGTCGTTTAAGTTCTGATATATTCTAACAGTCGTTTCTGCGATTACCTTTTGAACGACAGTTTTATATATGCATAAGAGTTTGGAGTCGTAAACTGCGAAAGTAATGAGTGTGGAGTCGCATGATTCTGTCTTTAAACATTCTTTCTTAAACAATCGCTCTTTCTTGAACTTTTACATGACTTTCATATTATTCTTTTTCCTTTATATACGCGTTACTTTGATAGTATCTCACATAGTCTAAGCATAAAATCCAATGGGTTAAGTCTGTCCATTCCCTGTCCATTACCTTAACCGTTTCACTGCTACGCGGCGCAAAAGCGCTGCGTTCATTTGTCTCGAAAACCGCGATGCAGCGCTTTTGCGCTGCGAGTTTCAGTGTGTCTTTGTTGCTCCGTGGAAGTGAACGTAGTCTGACCTCACGCGTACTTTGTAACACGAGTGCATTCTAAAATAACTTTTTACCGTTTTTATATATTATTTTTAAAAAATAACCATGTCACGGGCTATTATTTCGGACGTTGATTCGATTGCTAGTGATTCTGAGGATGGTGAAAGAACAGACACAAGTAGTGATGATTATATGATGATAGCATTATTATAACTCATCAAAGAAAAAGACTGAGGATTGAAAGTGAGTCTTCTATCTCATCTTCATCTTCAGAAACAGAAGAAACACCAACTTTTACGAATATTCCTCCGACAAATGTGTTTTCCAAAGCAACAAATAATTTTTTCGAGACTCCTGGACCACATCAAAAATTATTGACGATATCGAAAAGGAATGGATGAATCATAAAAATAGCGTGTCAACACAACCATCTTCATCAACCAAAAAATTTGCGCTTGAAAAATTATCGGGACGTAACTTACGACAATGTGCGGTGTGTAGCAACAGAAGGAGCGGGATCAAGCGATCCCGCCTTATTTGCGCTTGTTGTAAAAAAGGCCTTCACGCTATTTGTGCGGCAAAACATAGTTGTTATACATAAATTTTTCATGTAAGAGTCAGTGATCTTCCCCTAATCAAAATGATCCTTTACGTGCTGATCATAAGAGAAGATCAATAAACTTTAAGTTATCTTTTTATAAATTTTAATTTTCAAAGAAAAAACAATTTAATGTTTATTTTTTCTTATTCACAATCACAATTAATATTGTTTCTTTATAATACGAAAAGAATTATTAAAATTGATTGATATTTGTCTAAATGAGAGTGTTTTATTTGACAACATCAAGTCAAAATATGTCCCGCAGTTTTCGTGCGTTCTTGCAAGAATTGCTTAGCAGTCAAACGGTTAAACAATCGCTCTTTCTTGAACTTTTACATGACTTTCATATTATTCTTTTTCCTTTATATACGCGTTACTTTGATAGTATCTCACATAGTCTAAGCATAAAATCCAATGGGTTAAGTCTGTCCATTCCCTGTCCATTACCTTAAGTAGCCAATTTGGACCTTTTTGATTTATTTTTGCCACGTTCCCGTCATTTTTTTGGTTAAAAAATACTGTCTTACAACTACTACTGTGGCATACAAGATAATCCCGTTAGGTTTTAAAGGTTTGCAGTTTGGGCCAATATCGCTGACTTTTTCACTCCCTTCTTTTCGATGCGCTGCAGAATTGATTTTCGGGCGACGTCAGTGCACGACTCACCGACACATGCGGGTGCGCGTGCGTGCTACGAGCGAGGTGTACGATTACACGGTACAACATGACTCTCGATGAGCCTCCCAGCGCGGCCAGGCATCGGCGCGGCGCGTCGCGCGTCTCTCGTGTGTTTACACGCGGCCTCGCTGCGCCGCGACTCGCGCGGGCTTTGAATAGGGGTGGATGCTTGATCGCCAACGAGCCGGGGGAATACATACGTCCCGGTGTACGTGTGTGTTCCTGAGAGACGTACAGTAATCACTCGTCGGCGGCGTGGACCACCGTGAGTCGCGATGTACACGGTGTATATCCTAGAAGAGCCGCTCGCGCGAGCGCGAGAAGGCCTAGAGGCGATCGCGGACCTTATCGGGGACGAGCACGTACGTTGTACATAACTGTCCGGATATAAGCGGATAGTGTATTAATTTATAGGATTATTGCGGTCCAATCTGCGATTCCGAAGATATGTTGCCCCATTAGCGGAATTGATGGCGCGCTATGCAGATTGCGTAGCGTAGTACGTCCGGTATTGCTCGTTGCTACACGGCTCACATTTAATTACGAAGAATATCGCCAATCGCATTCCTCGCATTTTCCGCCCCCCCCCTTCCCTTCTCCCTCCTGCGCTCGATGATCGACAGCGGGGCGAGACAATACGGGGCGCGCGATGTGTTGTGTTCCGTCTAAGCTGTCTGCGCGCCGGCGCGGCCGATGTGTGGATTCAATTATATTCAGATTACAACACTCTCGCGCGAGCAAATTCCCATGACGACGGCCATTCAAAACGCGCTCCTTTGTGTGTCTTGCAGCGATTTTTTCAAACGTCCAATTTCACGCTGGCCCGAGCGAGCGAGCGATCGCTACATTCGTTCGCGGGAGAAAGAGAAACAGAAAGGGAGAGGATGAGAGAGAGAGAGAGAGAGAGAGAGAGAGAGGGGGGGAGGAGGAGGTGAGAGCACCGTTGCGTCGTTTAATTTGTAATAATGTTGCCATACGTTGCGTTAATTCCTCGGGCACGGAACCGAAGATGTAAATCCATGCATGTCTACATGCATGAAGATCCGAATAATTACGGATGACAGTTGTTCATTAACTACTCATTAACAGGCTCGCGAGGTGCTCGCCGACGCGCGGGCGTGTGAGAGCTTTGAAAATATGTAATTACTGCCTTTTCCACGGTTATTACGATCCCGTACGGACTTCTAAGATGCGCAATGTTGTGCGCGGTGATGTATGTTTTCAAGGATATTACTGTAAGCGCTAATGTACGACGGTGACCCGTTAGTACGACTTATAATAACTCGTTAGAGAGAGCGAGCGGGCCTTTACCGCGCCGCTCGTGTACGTTCAAAAGTGACGTGGCCACAAATAGGCTCGATAATTCTCTAATGATTCAGCATACGCATTACTTCCCGCAAAATATAAACGTTAATGGCGGGATTACATCCCGCGCGTCCGCGTGAACGCGGCTAATAATCTCCATATCGTACGTAATAACGAGGGGAAAACACATATTGACAAAGGAAAAAAAAGAAAGAAACAAAACACGTTTCCTCGCAAACACCGCGAAGCTGGAATTTGCAATCTCCGCTAGGGGACTGAACGTCCGTCATGATTCAACGGTACGAAAAGAAAGAAAAACATAAGATAAATCTGTTGTTTGGAGAAAAGACCCACCTCCAATAGTCTTGATAATTAGATAACCAAGAAAGTTCATGCCCGGTCTTGTCACTGTCAAACTGCGCATGCGCACCAATTAAAAGTATGATTGTGTGATTAACCGGTGTGTAACACTCACGGAAATTTATTATTTATCTCTATTGATTAAACGCCACGAACTTTCTTGGTTACCTGATATATTATAGAATGTTACTCACCCTCTTCAGTAACATTCAAGAGGTTTTAGCCGTCGCTTATTGTTTGTTAAATAGTTATTAACAAAAAAAGCTTCACAAATAGAGCCTATTTTTCCAACACAGTATATTAACTTAAAAAAGTTAAATGGTAGACTTTGTCCCTTCTCTTGCGCCCTTTCCTAAAAACCTACCTAACCTAATCTAAACTAACCTAACTTAATCCAATTTATACATCTTTGCATATGTTTAGATGCTGTGGCTTTCATTGCTCACAAAATGACATAGATGCAAATGCATAATATAAACCCATCTCGACCAATGAGCATCTGGGGAAAAAATTGCCACATTGATTTACAGAACATAACATAACTTTTTTCTAAACGGTCATTGGTCCATATGATTTTATGTTATATATATGCATTTATGTCATTTTGTGTGCGAGCTCTAAGACAATGCCCAACTGTATGTAAAAATGTATAGATTATGTATAAGTAAAGGTATAGGTAGAGATATGCGAATTAAGAATTTTTATGTCGAATCGAATCGAATCTCATTTTTTAAATTCGAATTCGAATCGAATCGAATCTATGAAATTTCACTTGAATTCGAATCAAGTCGAATGAAATCGAATCGAATCATTAAAAAATTTAACATGACTATTAAACATGCAAATAATGATGGAAGATATGAAAAGGAATGAATGAAAGGGAATATTGATATTATAATATCATCTTAAAGTAAAATATATATTTAAATATTTAAAGTAATTTATAATTAAGTTATTAATTATAAGTTAAGTTAATTACAAGTTAAGGGTTCAAACATACAGGCCCAAATGGATCGTTTTGTAGCTGATGCACGCAAACAATAATGTATTCGATTCCTATTCGAATCGAATCGAATTACATTAGATTCGATTCGATTCGATTCGAATTCGAATAATTCGCATATCTCTAGATATAGGTTATGTATATGCATAGGCATAGGTAAAGGCTAGGTTTGGTTTCTTTCGGAAAGGGAAGGGGCAGAGTCTCCCTGCTCATATATACTGTTTAGCATTTTTTAATATATATTTTAATTATATGTTGCAAACATAGGCTCTCTTTGTAAAACTTCTTTTGTCAATTACTTTTTAACAAACAATGAGCGACCTTCTTGAATGAACCTCCTTACTCAGGAGGGTAAGTTTTATAATATATGATTGGGTCGCTCATTGTTTTACTGAAAAATTAGTCAACAAGAAAAGGTTTATAAATAGAACCTATTTTTCCGACACAGCGTACATTAAAAATATAAAAAACAATACATATAAATACGAGGTGCTTACCTAACCCTTAAACTTAGTTTAGGTCCCCTAAACAGCATATGTTGAACAAACACAAAAACAGTCGTGTATCTGAGACCATAATGCGATGTAACATTGCAAAAGTCACAACACAATGCAGCGTAGATTGCGGCACATCGATGATACGCGATCGCGGCCGAGAGAATCCGATCGACCGGCGGCTGTTGCAATCGCGCGCACACGCGAGCGACAACAATGCGCGTCGCGCGCTCGCCGCGCCGGCGGCTTCGCATTGGCGCCTCGCCGGCAAATGGACGGCTAGAGAGAGCCGGCGCAGCAGTATGCTTGATTGCCAACAAGCGGAGAACGTATAGTTACAGCGCGAATGGTATACGTGGCCGCGTCGCGTGTAGCAATCGCTCACGGTGGTGGCCCCGAAGGGACCACCGCGCGTATGACGAGCGTATGACTCGCGCGACGCCCTTCGACCGTTCGTAATGCCCCCCCCCCCCGGCGCTCGTCTATGCGACGTTTTCGCACGCGGACAAATTGACCGATCTATCACCCCGCGCGGGCAGCAACGCTAATCCAATTTGTATGCGCCGCGCGATAGCCCGGCGGGGGACACCGTCCATCGACGAGACACTCGCACCGCCCGGACGCGACGTCGCCGTCGTTGACGAATGGAGAAGCGTGGCCGACAGCCGCGCGTGGAGCCGGGGGGGTCCGCGGAGTCGGAAGTCTGGCGAGTGTTTGAGCGGTGTGATCGAATCGCACGGTAGTGAAGGTTGCGTTCACACCGCGCACCCCGAAGACGACCTGGGGGGCAAGACGAAGGCGGAGTATGAAAGGATAAACAACGCGACGGTCGGAAGGCGATTCTCGAGAGTTGACACAGTAAAGGGCGCAGGGCTGACGAGCCGGGTGATGAAGTGACGACAGGGCGGTGGAGAGCATTTCGCGCGTATCCACTGTGGGAGCTATATGATAATGGAGAACCGCGCGACATTCGACTCCTGCGCGCGCAGGACATGTTTGCACAAGATCCGCTCCAACGAGCGGGCACGCTAAGTCTCGGTAGGAAGGATCGATTCGCTCGTGTTTACTCATACGGTACAGCGATACGTTCGTTAAAGACTTCCGCCGAGCGAGACTCCGAGTCATTAATATTCATTTGAAGCTCCTTTCTAGGTCGGAGCCGACGAGAGCGTTCGACGAGCGCGCGAGAGCTGTCCCGGGCAACTCTAAGCAGCAGCTCTTCGACCGCTTCGAAGTCTTTTCGGTACCGTGGGATCGGCTTACAGCCGTGAATATTATCTGCGGGAAGGATCGCGGCGCGCGTGTGCGCGGCTCGCCCTCGCGACCGAGCGAGGTCGCAAATTGGACACGTAGGTGTCCGGCGTCGCGGTCGCGACGGGGAATTCAGGACACGCGTAAGTAACTCGGCGACGGTGGTACAATGAAGCCACCGTGCACGCTGCGCAACCGAGTCGCGAAACCGTGAAGCCATGTATGGTAAACGACGCTGCGGCAGGCAGGTACCTCGCCTCGGCGAAACCCCCCATAGGGAAAGAGGAAAAGGCAGAGGACCCGGAGGGGCGAAGGGGACGGAGGCAGAGAGAGAGAGAGAGAGAGAGAGAGAGAGAGAGAGAGAGAGAGAGAGAGAGAGAGGGGCTGACGTTGAGCTGCAAGGAGCAAAACACAATCGGAGCGACCCGACGAAAAACACCCGAGTCATCCTCGACTTAATAGCTAATTATCAATTAATTAAGAGAGCCGACGCTCCGATTGCGGAGCGCAACACTCGGACTCGCCGGCGTAACGGTCCGCGGATTCCTTTTACAGAGAATTTGCATCTCATGGACATTATCGAGTCGTTATAAGGCGGGACGTGCGCAACAATGTATTGCATCAGCGCCACGGCCTGCCCCGTGTACCGTAATGAGTTTTTCGATGCGCCCTACGCAATAAAGGAAGATGGATGATACGCCGTCGCGGTCGGGGAGCGCGGGACCTTGACATAGGCATTTAATCGCTGCGCAAATGGAACCGTTCGATTGATTCTCCGAATATACCGGAGAGGGCGCGGACGCGTCGTGGGGCGCGCAACGCGGATGTGTCGTGTCGTGTCGTGTCGTGTCGTGTCGTGTCGTGTCGTGCGAAGAACCGGCCGAAGCGGACGTCAGCGCCGTCAGCGGAGCACTCTCGGCCTCGTGCCGCGCAATCGTAGCCGAGCGCGCTCCGGATTTCGACACGTCGCTGCCGCGTATTTCACGAGCCACCGTTTTTCAGGCCGTACATTCATCATAAAGCTCTGACGTTTCATCTATGCGCCATACGCGCTCAACGGACCACACCGTCAGACTCCCTCCCCCTCTCTCTCTCTCTCTCTCTCTCTCTCTCTCTCTTTCTCTCCAACGTCCGTGTACCTCTCGCGCGAACGCGAGAGCACGCGTCTCTCTGAAGCGTCGCCGATGAAATCCGCGATAAGCGGGATAATCGTCGAGATCGAGGCGAAACGACCGGCATATTCACACCCGCAGTCGTTGACGGTGAAAATTGTTCGATCGGATGTATTAGGGGTGCGATTGAGTTTTGAGAGACTCGCAGGAGATGATATTAGGTGTGTGAATTAATTCGTTTTTTTCTCCCAAAAAAATACTTTAGTATGAAAAAACATGAAAAGGTACACTAATCAAAGTATTTGCCATCGCTTGCCATTATTTGTTCCCATTTGTCTGGCAGTTGTTGCATTCCGTGACGGAAAAACGACTCGTCCTTCGAAGCGATCCATTCATTGAGCCATTTCTCTATTTCTTCATAATTGTTGAAGTGCTAGTCCGAAAGCCCGTGTGCCATCGATCTGAACAAGTAATAATCGGATGGAGCAATGTCTGGTGAGTACGACGGGTGAGGTAAAACGTCCCAGCCAAGTGCTTCCAAGGTGGCCCTCACATCTTTCCAACATGTGGCCGAGCGTTATCGTGCTGAAAGATCACTTTGTCGTGTCTCTTCCCGTTCTCATATTCCGGCCGCTTATTCTTCAATGCGTTGAACGGATCAATTGTTGTTGGTAAAGTTCGGCGGTGATGGTTTGGCTCTGTTTTAATAGTTCATGATACACTATACCCTTCTGGTCTCACCATATACAGAGCATTACTTTCTTGCCGTGAATATTTCGCTTTGGTATCGATGTGGATGGTTTTCCTGGGTCGCTAATGGATTTCCTTCGTTTGGGATTATCGAAATATATCCACTTTTCGTCTCCAGTCACAATACGATGCAAAAAACCTTTTCTTTTTTGCCTGGCAAGCAAGATTTCAGATATGGCTTTTCGCCTCTCGATGTCTCTTTCTTTCAGTTCTTTCGTATGGCACCCATCTTCCTTCTTTGTAAATCTTTCCCATGGCCAAACTGCCAAACGCACAGAAATTGTTGATTGATCAACATTCAACAATTGCGCGAACTCATGTTGCGATTGACACGGATCTTCATCGGTTAGCGCCTGCAATTCCTCGTCCTCGAACTTCTTCGGCTGACCTGAACGAGGTTTGTCATCGACACAGAAATCATCACTTTTGAAACGTCGAAACCATTCTCTGCATGATTTATCGGTAGGAGCACTTTCACCATAAGCTTCTACGAGTATTCGATGAGCTTCAGCGGCTGTTTTCTTCAAATGAAAACAGAAAATGAGAACTTCCCGGAAATGATGCTTTTTTAGCTCGAATTTCGACATTTTCGAATCAGATAAACACGATGTTATTGTTACAAACCCAAACGTTTATCAACTGAATAATATTATTGCCAGATATCAAAACTAAAAAATAAAGCCTTTTGCAGACATTAGAGGTTAGAAAATTATATAATACAGCAATTGACCGCCAGATGGACCGAATTAATTCACACACCTAATACTAATGTCAGTTTTGTCGAAGACATTCCAATCACAGCTATTGTTTCTTAGGTCAGTATTCATAGTCAGGTCTTATATTTAAGACCGTCTTAAGTTCACCTTCAGATAACCAATGAAATAACTTGTACAGCATCTGAAGATGGACTTAAGACGGTCTTAAATATAAGATCCGATTATGAATACCGGCCTTAATACTTTAATATTAATTCATGATATTTAGTCATTCACTAACAATAAACGCAATAAAAATGTATTGATACCATCTTAAAAATTGAGCTTCTTATATAGAGAGCATTTTCGACATGCGTTGTTTCTGTTTTTTAATCAAAAGAAAATGGCAGTGGAAGATCAAATTCTGATAGAAACTTATGGTGATGTTGCTCTATCAATTAAGACATAGTATGAATATTGGTTTAGACGATTCTAAAGCGCTGATTTCAATGTTAATGACAAAGATCGGCTCGGGACAAGCAAAAAAGCTTGAAAATGCAAATTTTATTGCAAGCGTTATTGGACGAAGATCCAGCACAATCCACTTCAGAACTTGCCGGAGCATTAAATGTTGATTGTACAACAGTTACTAAACGTTTACATAAATGGGAAAGATTCATAAAAATGAGTTCCACATGCCAATTATCGGAAAATGCCATTGCGAACCACTTAAACATTTGCATTTTGTTGATCGCCAGACAAAAAATAAAGAGCTTTTTGTATTCGAATTGTTACCGCGGATGAGAAATGGATCCATTTCGATAATTCCAAACGAAAAGAATCATGGTTTGATCCAGGCCAAGCAGCAACATCCACTTCGAGAAGCGCAATATTCACCGTTTAAGGGACTGTTGCTGCAAAGGTATTTGGTGGGATCAAAAAGGTGTTGTGTACTATGCTAAATCCGAATGAAACTGTCACCGCTGTTCGTTGTCGATAATAATTATACAAATTGAAGCGAGCATTGGACAAAAACCATCACCAATTTCAAGTAAACGACGCAAAGTGATCTTTCTTCGCGACAATGCTCGATTTCATGTTGCATTATCAGAGAAGCAAACGCTGTTAGAGCTGGAATGGTGAGTCTTACCGCGTATTCGAGACATTGCTCCATCCGATTGTCACTTGTTCCGCTCAATAGAACATACTTTAAAGCAGAGCTAGAGACAATCTGTACATTTCGGGCGAAATTCAAAAGGTGACACCCACCGTTCCCCTGTCGCCGCTCCGCGCTCAGCGGCCGAGGCGACGATCGAGATACATTCAGGTTCGCGTCATATTATCATTACAATTTTTTCCTCGTTTAATAATCACTTTAAAATATATATGTTTATGTGTTTTATATATACATCGTGTCTCAAAAGTAACGGACCACCCTAATAACTCTTCAGTATTGAAGTTTTAAGGAAAATGATCTGAATAAAAGTTGTAGGGATTTAAGTGAGCTACCTTATGATGACCTTGACTTTGACTTGACCTCTATTTTCAAGGTCATTTAAAGGTCAACTTGCGTTTTTTAAATGGGAATCTTTATTTTTTATTACACTGTTTTCTACTAGTTAATTTGAACAAATTTTGCCTAAAACACTTTTTATTTGTTTAATATTTGTTGAGATATTTGAGGAAAATTTGATAACTTTTTCAATATTTAACTTACGATTTTTCGCTAAATATTTGTCGGAAGAAAAAGTGGCACTAGACTTTCTTGCTTTATTTAGTCTCAAGTATATGTTGTTACAATAGCGCCCTGATTTTTCTTAATTTGATGACTTTGAAATTTCCAAAAATCAGTAAGTTAATAAAAGTCAAGGCGCTATTGTAACAATATATTCTTAAGACTAAATAAAGAAAGAAAGTCCAGTACCACTTTTTCTCCCGACGAATATTTAGCGAGAAATTGTAAGTTAAATATTGAAAAAGTTATCAAGTTTTCCTCAAATAGCTCAAAAAATATTAGACAAATAAAAAAATATTTTAGACAAAAGTTATTCAAATTAACTAGTAGAAAGAAACAGTATAATAAAAAATAAGGGTTCCCGTTTAAAAACGCAAGTTGACTTTCAAATGATCTTGAAAATAGAGGTCAAAGTCAAGGTCATCATAAGGTAGCTCACTTAAATCCCTACAATTTTTATTAAGATCATTTTCTTTGAAACTTCAACACTGAAGAGTTATTAGGGTGGTTACTTTTGGGACACCCTGTATATATATATATAATATATATAAATAACGCACGACGACCTAACCGGTATTTGAATTGATTAAGAGAAATCAACTAATTCTGTAAGGGAACAATGTTCGATCCCGGTCACCCGATGAACATTAGAAAACAATGATTTGATTAACACTCACCAACTTTCTGCACGAGTGGCGATGGCACGTCTCTTTCGGGCGTCCAACAGCGACTAACTGCCTACCTCTATCGCGACATCGTTTTTATGATCCGCGTCTCTATCTTCCAAACGTAAACACATCGTTTTCCCCACCATCAACCTCACTGTGATCGTTATTGTTTTTCAACGCTCCGAATACCCATTTGGGATTTTCATATGCAATACTCACACCTCGTACGATATGAATGGTTAGGTATTAGAAGTAAGAATAAATTCAATATTTTTATTACAATTGTGTGCTTTTCTTCAAAGGTGTACACAACAACAGATCGACATTCTTTAGAAAAGGAAAAGAAAAAGGGGTGAAAAAGAAATAGAAAAAAATAACGAATATATGTCTCACAATTTATTAATCAAAATAAAGACCATTGTCCTGCACACATTTCTCCCAACGGGAAACAAATTTGTTTATTCCTACAAGATGGAATTCTGGAAAAGATAACGGTAGTTGGAAAAATCGGCGCCAAATGATAAAATGATAAAAACCGTAATTATTTTTGCACCGACTTAATAAATCACACTTCTAATATCATAACGTACAAATACGAAACGCGGCGTCACCAAGCGGAACGACAAGCCAAGCGGATGTCCTCGCGCTTCCGAATGCTCGCTTCGAGCGCCGCGCACCGCCAATTGAAATCGCTTCGAAGCCGGGAGCAGTCGCGCCAACTAGGAGAGCCGAGGAGAGGAGAGCCGGTCGACTTCTCTCGCGGTGGCTATCAACGATATCGATATTTTCGCTCGCGGCGCGGAATTCTCATTCTCTGCGAACATAAGCAACACCGACACACGTCCAAAGAGGGCGACGCTTTCGTACAAAGCTGCGGAACGAGAGAGGCGCGCCTTTATTACGAGGATGTTACTCCCTCCCTTTGCCACCCCCTGCCTCCTCCCTCCGCCAGCCCCCCTCGTCCTACGATCCGAGGCGCGATGTACCGCGTGCTGACTATAATATCGAATATATTGGATAATGATAAAGCCGCGAGCACCTATACCCGCCGTACCGGGGGTGATTGGTTATTAGTTTTGGCCGGACGATACAATCTTAATGGGAATACTTAGGTGGGAGGCTCCGAGACATTGAGGATGATCTATACTGCGGACCGTGTACACGCATCAGGCCCGGCTGATAGATCGACCAACCTATTCGTGGGACCTACCGTGTCCCTTCGTCTTCTCCCTCCTTCGCCTCCGCCTCCCCTCGACCCACTCCTCCTGCGTAGCTGTTCCTGGGACGGCCGCGTGCGTGTAACTCGCTCACACGCGAGCGGACGCACATTGTGTGTATATGTGCGACCGTCGTGGTCAATGGCAACCTTGGCGACGACACAATGCAGCCAACACGAGAGAGGGAGAGGGAGAGAAAGTTAGTAGGTACCATTTTGGCAAGACTGTAGTGACAACTAGAAATTTTCTTCTTCGAGTTGGAAATTTTCAACTTGGAATAGTTTGGCCTATTCGGCGATTACATCGTACAAGCGTACCAGATTAGTCCTTAAAATTTGGCACATGAAGAATTTGGCACCTCCATTACGCGTAGAACCTATCTAGGATGAAGAACATGATGGTAATATACTATTATTTCATGCGGCATAATTGATTAATATTAATAAAGTAAAAACTGCAAAAGTATCTAATAACCTAATAGCTGTAGATCTGTTCTTTTCAAATAAACTGCCTGAACTGGTGTAAATTTTGTCCTCGCAATGTACTGAACTGCCGCATTAAGTTCTGTTGCATTGGTGGAAAGAACAGTAACATCTGACGTCGCCTCTGCTAGAAAGAACTCTTCAGTGTACACTTTTTGAACTAGAAAGTTCAGCTGGGAAGAACAACCTCTTGACAACGTTAATGTTCGGTTCAAGTGACCGAATATATTCCTGAGGCGACAGAGAGATCTTCCAACGGTACTTTCCTTGCGTTGCGATCGAATTTTCAGTTGATTCTTGAGGAACGGAAGGTTTCGGTTGTCGTGACTGTAATTCAATCGTACAATACAGGCAGCCGAATAGTTTTCCGCGTACGGCAAAATTACGGTCGGACGAATTGCTCCCGGGGCTTTACATCGCGAGACTTGCACGTCGTTCGACATATCCACTTTTTCTTGCACCAAAGCGAAACTTGACCTCGAAAGCTTGCGAAAGAGAGATATCTTTTTCCAAGAGATTGTTGAAATTCCCAGAGGAAGTGACAAAAAGTACGCTCGCGGGTGTCGCGCTTTCGTTGGTGTTTCTTGTGTCACGACTCCCATTCAATGGCTTCGAGTCTCCTTTCGGTGTGTGCTTTTTTTCTCCCGCAGTCTTCCTAATCAGAGAGTCGAACTCCTAACGTTAGAGAAAGAGAAAGAGAGAGAGAGAGAGAGAGAGAGGGCGAGAGCCGATAAGATCAGGGGCTGCCCAAACTGCTGCGTGAAGAACGCCTGCTGAGACCTACGCCTTTTTTGCACACAACCGCCCGAGTGCGGTGTGTTTATATGAATCTGCTTTCCTCCTCTCTTTCTCTTTCCCTCCTCCCGCTCGCCCGCCACCCATTGTTATTATTAGGATGAACGAGAACACCCCCTTTACCTCCTCGAGCTCCGGAAGAGCGTTTCGTGATACGCGAGTCCCGGCTGGAGTCACTTCCTACCGGACAGCTGCTCTACTCCCCCCCCTCTCGCTCGATATTTCCTGACGTTTCCCTCACGGGTTGCGGTAACCCCTTTTTTCGTACGCTCCGAGGCGCACGGTACAGTCCCGGCTGCGAAAGTCGGTCGAATCGCCCGGCCACTCGATCGCGTTTCCACATTAACGCACATTGCGCGATGTCAAAATGCTGTCGAAATTCATCGATCGGTCACTAAAAGTCTACAATTCATGTCATGTATATTGTGGATATTCAGTACGGTCAGTAATTATCGGAACGCGGACCAAGGGTGCGTTCCTTTATTTACTTCAAATACTGGCACTATGAAAGTCATGAAAGTGTACTGCTACTAGCGTTTTTAATTTCGAGAACTCGACAGTTCTCGAAATTAAAAACGACAACCTCGACAGGTGTTGCAACGTTACAAATCGAGACCTACTACAGTACGCTTCGTTTATGGCTGTGTTTATGGTTTGTGTACCCGTGCGTCTGTTTACAAACATGAGTGAATCCTCAAGCATCAGCTATGACTATAATCGCATTAATTGCAACTATAATAAGATAAAACATGAGGAATTAAGCAACAGCGATTTAGACATAGAAATAATATAACTAGTTACACAATCTCGGATACCACAAGTAAAATGCCGAAATGTGTGTGGAAAATATTGTGTTAGCATGTTCTTCTAAAATTTACAATGCATTTTCGGCAAGTTACTAAGCACAAAGTTAAAAACTTAATTGTACACTAAAAAAAATTATATTCTTATATCAATTCATATTTATAATATATCCTGCTAAGTTGTTTTTTTAACTAAGTATGTATTTATATTAATAATTTAATACATATTAAACACAGCTATTGTGTATATTTTGTTAATCTCCCTATCAATCAAGGTTAGATCTATGTAAGCAGCTATCTTGTATTGTGACTGCTTCACGTCGCTAGCTGCAGTAGCCGCAGCAGGAAGTGACATCGAGATTAATGACGGCATACCCTTATAGAAGCTATAACCCCTATATTTCGCAGTATATTGTAACCACAGGCATTTATATTACACTAGACCGCTAACTCCCGTGTTTCTAGGGATAATTTTGGACCCCGAAAATTATATATTACATAGTGTGAGTAAACGTCTGCGCGTGCGTAGCGTAAATGATAAAGAAGACATGTAACATGGCCGATATTCATTATATTTATATTTATGCGTATAAGAAGTTACATACGTGTATATATATTACTTTTTCGACCAACCGGACATCAGTATTTTACCAGCTACAGAACGCATGCGCATGAGTTCATAGCCTTCGGAACCATGTATTTTATCCTAGTTAGCAGTCTAGTAATAACATAGATGTCTCTGACTGTAGCCCATATTGGAACACTGCTGGTGGTACTGACAGCAAATAAAGGAACGCCGCCCCAAGTCGTCCTCGTTCCCGCTCGCGACCGCGTTAAGCCGCGAAATTCGAGCGTTACAAGTTCAAATCGTACGAAATCGCATTCCAAGCGCGCGTTCTTCATGCCGTAGCCTCGGGGCACTCCCCGCTCTGCTATAAACGGTGGCCGACTCTGCTACAAACCAGTTACTACTCTCTCTCGCCTCGCAGTGCTTCGCATTAACTGACGCGCGCGCGCGCGAGTGACGTGCTTATATTTCCGTCGGCCGGCGGAAAAGGAGGGCGGCTGCGGCTGCGGTTCGCCGAGGAGCGCGCGGTACTATCGATCCGCGCTTCTCGCAATTTCCACGTCCGAGCGGGCTCGCGCCGATCGAGGACGAGGCGTCGCCGCCGCTGCCGCCGCCGCCGTGTGCCCGTTTGCGACATACCGCGGCGTGTCGACCCCGCCGGCGATAATCCGCGCGCGCGGGCGTGCGCGGGGTTAACGTCACCGTGACACGAAGGTGCCGCGGCGCGGCGCGGCGCGGCGCGGGCGGCGAGCTGCGCAGACTGACGATTATCGTATTTTTCGCGGCTGACGTTTATAGTTCGCGGCCGCCTCAATGTATCATACTCGCTCGCGAGGCTTATCTCCGTCGCCTCGCGGGAATTCTCCGGCACGAGAATCAAGCACGATATCCACGCGTACGAGAGCGGCTCACCCACGAAGAGCCTCGCTGAAGGCTCAGCGCTCGGCGCGCATTAAACGCGCGTAATGTCTCTTTCCTCACGACCTACGGGAGCCCCTCGCGAATCGTCGGATTAGCCGAGCCGGACGGCTTCATAATTGCAAGGCGCGCTCGGCCGGAGATGTTCACCGAATTTCCTCCCCGAGGCGAACCTAACCTAATCGAGTCTCTCGTTGCGCGCTAATTTCAAAAAAGTTTCCGTCTCACGAGAGGGTAAGTCCGGGATAGATGAGTATAGTTTTTTTAATTGGGATTAACACATCTGTATTATTGCAATGAGTGATCAACAGCATATTAACTTAGTAGAGAATAATGTTTAAGGTACGGAAGAATTTTTGTGAAAAAAAATTCATTGGACGGCAATAATAACGAAATATTAGAAATATTTTATGAGGGATAGATGATGGTCATATACGAAGGGATAGTTGAACATGTCTGTAATAATGTAGAAATTTGTTTATTTTTATTTATTTTTTGGGCATTTTACATTTATTAATTATTGACCTTATTAATTATTGACCTTTTTAATTATCCCTTTATTAATTATTAATATAATAAAACATTTCCACAAGTTTCTTATAGAAACTAAGGATAGCATTGGTGGAGAGAAGATTGGAAAGTGGCAACACAGAAAAAGGTCCTATGGGAAAACATTGTTTATTAAAGAGAGAAAAAAGAAAGAAATCTATTCGGCATCTTTAAACGAAACAAGATGCTGTTTAAAATGTACTGCAGTTTTTAATGTTAGGTACCCAGGGAAAAATAGATATCGAATAGATATCGAATCGTCGTCTTTTATATGTCTAAAGCATCTAGAAAACGTCGATCCGATGTCCATTGCTTGCTATTTCTCGCTGAGTAGACTGCCCATCTAATTCTGATAAAAATGAACCATCTATCCCGTTTGGAGAGTTCGTGTAAAGATGCGTATACCGCGTGTAATCTCGGTAACGAATTTTGAGGTTAAGTACGCAAATATGATGTTTTTTTTACTTGTTTAAGCCCAGATCTAATGTTGTAACTCAAAATAAACCGTATTCGCAAAGTATTTTTCCGACGTGTGAAACATTTTGGAGGTTAATGGAAACATAAAACATTTATTTACTCACAATAACAGTGTTTTTGCGCATCAGGAAGAGACACACCTACTCGTGGTACATCCAACTCACAATTGACCGATCAGCGCTAACGCCTAGCACATATTAACAAAATTATAGCAATTGACTATCTATGCCCTATGTCAGGGGTTCCCAACCCGGGGGTGCTCGCATCCCCTGAGGGTGCGGAAAAACATTCTTAGAGATGTAAGGAAAAGTGATTGTAATTAGTAATGATGAATTCTGGAATAATCCGGCATTTTTACCATCAAATTAAAAAAAGAGTTATTAAAATTATATATTTTTTACGTATCTGTACGTATATATTCATTACGTACCATTATGCAAAGCTTAATATCATGGATAATAATTTTATAATATTAAAATGATAATTAATTTCTATAAAACAATACTGTGTAATAATAAATTATTATAAATTAACTTCTTACCTTAAAACCCTAATAACAAATTTTTACTGTAAAATATACGAATAATTTTTTTTTGTAGAGGGTGCAAAGGTTCATTAATAAATTTTTAAGGATGCGAAATTCAAAAAGGTCAGGAAACTCTGCCCTATATCCATCTATCCCGGGCTTACCCTATTGAAAATACTTTCTTTTCTTTCATTCTCAAGAGGACTGTTTCGCGATCCACACTATCACAGAATCGGGAGGGCGAAACGCACAGAGTCTCAAATCGCGACTTAGGAATCTGGTTCGGAGGAGGAGGGAGGGGGGAGCAGGCTGGATTTGAAGTCGCGGGTAGAGAAGCGGCAGAACGGAACAGGTGAGCGGGCAGAAGAGAAGGACGACGAAAAGAACGAACGGGTAAGGAGCAGAAGAAGGAGGAGGAGGAGGAGGAGGAGGAGGAGGAGGAGGTGATGAATCCTCGCGATTAACACGTCACCGTGGAAGAGCGTGTTTAATCAGCGTGCGGAGAAGACGCTGCGGGGCGTCCGCATTCGGACCGTCGGCCCTGTCGTTGCACCCCCTTTCAAAGCGGCCGGAACACCCCGTCATAAATAACGGGGCGTTCTGGAGCCTCCGAGTCACGGAGGGATGACGACGACGGTAATTGTGAGTTACCGCCGGGCCCCGGGGCCCCGTATAGGAGCACCGGCCCCCGCGGGACATGTTCCGAAATTAACGATGATAACGATGATCAAAAGTAAGGCCCGTTCTAGGCCCGCGCGCGCGCGACGACGACGACGCACGTTGTCCAGCGCGCCGTCTCAGGCCGCCCGCGGGCTGAACTTTACACTTTTTTCCCAGTCGCGGTATCATCAGCCGCTACGCTTGATTGCGCCGAGTTGTGCGTGCAATCCCCGAAGTGCCGCGAGTGGAGCATCATCGATGGTGCCGCGCGCGTGCGCGCGAGGGGAACGTTCGTCGAGCGTGCGGCCGCGGCCTCGAGAGAGAATCGCGTCAAACGTTTGTAATTGGGCCTGACGCACGTGTAAATAC